CTCTGGTTAGGCAGTAAGTAATTTGCCATTTGGAGGTTTTGTGTTTCCAACCCTTCTCTCCCCAGCGTGCCTCTCCATTAGGTGGTGGTTCGTCCCCACTCTGCATTGAAAATCTCCCAAAGCAGGATTAACTTGTCCTTCTTGGGAACTTCAGATAGAGGTGTTGTGGTGTGTGTGTGTTGTGTGTGTGTGTGTGTGTTTGTGTGTGTGTGGTGTGGTGTGTGTGTGTGGTGTTGTTGTGTTTGTGGGGTGTGTGTGTGTGTGTGTGTGTGTTGTGTGTGTGCGTGTGTGTGTGTGGTGTTGTGTGTGTGTGGTGTGTGTGTGTGTGTTGTGTGTGTGTGTGTTGTGTGTGTGTGTGTGTGGTGTGTGTGTGTGTTGTGTGTGGTTGTGTGTGTGTGTGTGTGTGTGTGTGTGTTGTGTCTCGCTCTTTTAAGCGTCTAATGAAGGTAAAAAAAAACACAGCGAACGATGTTGTGTTAAAAGGGCCACAGCCCACTTCCTTCATGGGCGAACCTGTAACTTTCTTGTGTGCACGAGAACGTATCTCTTGCGCAATAGAAAGTATATCGTGATGAGCAAAACCATGTCACTTGGCCCAGGTGGTTTCCACAGAACGGACAAAATATGTTTAACGACCATAAACACACTCCTACCGTCCATAGGTACTGGCGGCCTATCAGCCAAAACAAACTTAAAGAGCATCTTGCAGGTTTTTTTTTTTACTACATTTATGCTTAACCTTGCCTGAAAATTACAATTAAAAATGTTAATGCAGGATTTGATATGTTTTACAAGACATAAGGGCAGGAATTCAGGGGAAAAAAGGAGCCGTTTTGAGCTCTGCTACTAAAAACTGCTTTTTTTTAACGTCATACGTCAAACGCGTCATATTACGTCACATGGGGGAGTTAACTTTCTCGGACTCGTTCTCTGCCCAATCCGCGCTATTAGTTTGTAGTTGGTTTGAGGTTGTGATTTAGTGAGCTGGTATTTTTTCGGTAATTTTACATTGCATTTCACCATTTGTAATCATGGTGAGCTTGTGTTTTTGCAGGTTGCACAAACTCAAGCCTGTCAGGACATCGAGTCCACAGTTTCCCTCACGGGAAAAGGACCGGAGCTAGCGTTCGTTCTTGGGTGCGTTGTGCATCCACCTCCCTGCACAAATACTCTCCACAGCTTTATCAAGAAACCGTATTACATCTCTCTCCCCCACTTCGCTGCTCTCTCTCTCTCTCTCCCCTCCGGTACAAGGCACCCGTAGTGTGGAGTTAGGTAACGCTGTGGTGGCTGTACTGCTCCAGCCGTCTCCTTTGTGTTTGTTTGTTTCCCCCTGTCTGTGTTGTTTGTGTGTGCGTGGTGGCTGTCACTCCTGGCTCCCGGCTCAACCTCCACTCACCTGCTGCAATCAGCTGTGCACCCTCCCCGACTACACACCTGCTTTCCATCAAGCCATTTACAACGGCATATCAACGGAGGCTCCACAACCTTTCTCAAGTATCAGCCGTATCTCGCGTCTCTCCTCCGGTACACAGCACCGTAGTGTAGAGTTGCATTAGGTAACGCGAGATACGGCTGATACTTGCGCATTAGTTTCTGTTATGGATCAGTATCAACATTCCTGCCAGTAACGTTACTATATTATCAATGCTACTTTAGTTATAGCCTGATATATGATTGCTAACTTTACAATGTTGTGATGTGACTGACGTTAGCTAACATGCTAACGCCGGTCACTCACCAAGACAGCTGCTCTGTTCTCCACTGGTTCTCCACACACCAAAGCTCCATTTCTCTCCGATGGCCGTTATTTTTTCTAATCCTTGGCTGCTCCTGGTCTCTTGCACGCCTAGCAGGCTCATAATTATAATCATATGCATTCGAATATATATTTTCAACCTCTTCTGTGTCAAAACTAGCATTGTGATCCATGTTTATTAATACGTTACACCGGCCGCTCTCCCCCTTTTGTCCCCCGTGTTACGTCACACGCGGGACGTCACACGCGGAGGCTTTTTTATGCGGAAGTGAAAATGTCTTACTAAAACGACGCCAGATGTCACTGTAGTGTATATTTCTGTATTTTTTTTTTTTAATTCTAGTGTATTCATCATTTTCCTACACATTTATTCACAGGTGTCTTTAACCTGGAAGTTGCACTTTAAGTTTGTGTCAATCACTTGCATGTCACTTCTGGTATTATGGGCATTCCCTTTCCGGTTTGATTCTCTAGTTTGTTAAAGTTTTTCTGCAAATTTTAAAGTGTTTTGGCAAATGTGAAAGTGTTTCGGGAAATGTTAAAATGTTTCGGCAAATGTTAAAGTGTTTCGACACTTTTAAATTTGTCTCTAGCTTTGCAAAAGTGTTTCGCATCTTGTTCATTTGTTTTTGTTGATGTTAAACCGTTTTTTATTTGGTCAAATTGTTTTGCTAATGTAACTTTGTTTTATAAAATGTAAATTTGTCTCAAACTTTGTTAAAGTGTTTCACACTTTGTAATTGTCGATTGCACCTCTCAGCCACCGTACAATAGTTATGTTGCTGCAACAGAAAAATAGGTTATTGATTTTAATGTTTTACTTAACATGAAATAGATGCTAAATGCTTGAAGAGGCTAACTACTTTATAAAGGTGGTCTCTGGTCTGGACTTACGTCAGCATCGTTGGTCATGGACTCAGTACCACTCTGGTAGAACTTGGCCATGGGGTTGTATGGATGCTCCTTTCTGAACTCCTCCCATATTCCTTTCTCCTGCAGGGCTTCCCTGGCAGTCTTTCCCTTGATCAGGGGAATCCTGTTTTCAGAAAGGTGAATAACAAAGGATCAGCAAGTTGTACAAATGTCGGGGACTTTTAACCCGGAGAAATACGAAAGTAAGCTCAGCTTTGAGCTTTGTGCAAGTTTGAAAGGTGTGATAGCTCAAAGCAAGATAGCCTGTGGATTTACCCTCAGGAATACTAGATGGAGAGATTGCCTTTCACATTTCAGCCTATTCATGTGTAAAATGTCAAAGAAATTCAACCAGCCAGGCAGGACTTACTTGTGGAAGCATTCAGCGAAAGCCACGAGGGCAGACAGGACTAGGAGCCACTTCATCATGTCACTTTATGGGTGGATTTAGAAAAGTGAAGTTCCAGTGGCAGAGTCCAGCCTTTATATACAGCAACTCAAGGTTGTGTTTCCAAATGCCCTTCATGATTTGATATCATGTATCAGCTGGAGATAAGAAACTGTTCCCTTTTATCAAAAAGCAAGTACCCCGTTAAACAAATTAACAATGGAAACTTTGCTCAACAAATTTACTGTAAGATCAAGTATGAGGCTGATAAGTGTTCTATGTCGTTTGTATATTGTTTAAATAATCACAACTATCAGGAAATATTATTCTGAAAACAGTGCTTTTTTGCTGTTTCTATTATATTACTGAAGAGTAATCCTTCATGGAAACTAACGTCACAGTGCTAAGGTTGCTGTGTCATTTAATTTCTCTTAATTCATGAAGTTGAAAAGTTAAGCACGTACTTTTCTTTAAAGGAAACTTGTCGGTTTGACTTCTATTATCACATCATTTGACTATATTAATGGCATAAGAAATGTATAGATACAGTGCACAATGAATGTTTTGACATCTAGATTGAGCGATTTGATATCCAGAGTTTCTGTTTGACATTGATAGGCCCTATGGACATTTTCCACGGGTTCAAAACGGTGAGCTAAGGTTATTTGGGCAGGGTTATCTGATAACAGTAACACACAAAATAAATATAGTACTATTAAAGTGGTAACAAAACATTGCAACCCAGAACATATTTTGACTTTAATTGCAAAGTTTGTTATGTATCATAGTTTCATAGTTTATTAATTCATTATTTTAAAACAAAATAAAAATGTATTCATATTTGCTTCCATAACATTGGGTTTCACAAATTGAGCTTTTGCCACAGCTCATAATATTGCTGATGATTTATTGTTTTGTAATGAAATCCATTAAAACAATGTAACCTTTTTATTGTCTTTAATAATAAGATATTTAAGTAATAATGTTTGATTACTTTTAATATAAATACTAGAGCTATTACTACTTTCAATAAATGACCATTATAACAAGAAGCCATTCATGTACAATAGAGGGCAAAGAATCCAATAACTTACACAAAGATACTAATGTAGAGCAAGAGTCTGTTTCTCATAACAGCAGATTGTTTTTCTCTTAATATAATAAACATTCAAACACTATAAAATAGCATTTTCTGAAATAGAAAACGTTCTTTAAGTGAGTGAAAAACCATTAACTGAGAAAACCTAAATATTATTTTGGAGCTGCTCTTTGCCAGCCAGTTAAGTGTCAAAGTCATGAGTTTGTTAATTGAGGTAGAGGACATTATGTATATGACCTTGTTCATAATCAGACTGCCATTAAAACCACTTGACATCCCATAACACACATTATGTCTTATCAGGAAACATAAACTTAAAACAGGGAAATAACTTGATATTATACTTTTATTGACAATACTATTTATACATTTCTCTTGATAAATTAACATAAAGTGAGCATGGAAACAGAAGAGCACATTTTTAAATTGTTCACAAATAACTTTTTTGGAATTAAAAAGTGTCCGATGTGGCTCTTATACTGTAAACACACTTTGACATTTTAGTTTCTGTGCTTGCTTTGTGGGTTTATAGAATCCAACTACTTATTATAGTGCATAAAGTACACAATGAAGAATACAGTCGGTAAAGTTTAAATATGTGCTTCTGATCCACAGCCGGTCTTCAATCTGAAGGCCGCTTCTGCTTTGCTCTCCTTCTTCCAAATGTCTCAACATCTGTTAAAAGTCCAGGTTTTTGAAGTCCTCAGTGCATCTGTACCTGCTTTCACCGTAGCTGGTGCACACCAAGTGGGGGAGACAGGGACAGGTGTGGTGTTGCCTTTTCCCTGGATAGGGCACCTGAGAGTGGAAAAAGGGGGGAGAGGGATAATCTGACATTTTCAATCCTTCAACAGTTGACAAGTGGAGCTGTCTTTAAACTGCTCTTTAAAGTCTGAATCAGAGATGGATGTGGTGTTAGCAGAACTAATTGTTGCCCTCTCCAGAGTGATGTATGGCTCTGATTGGCCGGTTCACTCTGGAGGAGATCAATAGCCTCTGCAGTTATCAGCAGCTTTTCTAAAGCTGCAGCCAACCTGCCTGGACCTTGATAAAATCAGAATTTCAACCAACGTAGAAAACAAAATTGAGCAACAGAGTATGGTTTGTTTGTGTCTCAGAAAGTGAGATGAAGGAAGATTAGTGACATCACAATTCTCCCCACCTTGTGGCTATAGGGGTGGCATTCATCCCCTTCCAGACCTCTTGGGACGCACACCCTCAGACCCCTCAGCCATAGACTGACGGCACAGCAAAGACCGAAGCCGCACTGAACGTCTCTGTCACAGGCCTGCAGCACAGAGAGAGAGAGAGGTGGTCGACGACAGAAATAAAATAAAAGACAGAAGCACAGTTATTGTTGAATGCCAGTGACTCAGTTTTATCTGTGTTGGAGATACCCTTTTTAGTTTGAATCTATTTTTATTTGTATTTATTGTTATAGAGATGTCCTCTCATAATCATACAGTGCACGTCATTCTAACAATCGCAGCCATCTTCCTAATTCATTTACAAAAGAATATCAATCAGTGGACTGAGATAATTTCATCTCGTTGTTCCATTGGACATGAAGCGGAGGAGGATGTGGTCTCCTGTCAGTAATGTATAATCACATTTATACAAATTATCTAGAAAAGGGTACTCTGTTGTTTGCATATTTATTGTCTGAATATTAAAATATCAAACAACAAAATTCAAAGTCAAGGGATTGTATTAAAAACGGATTGCAAGTACAGCACACATCCAGGTATAGAAACAAATTAGATAATAAGTTAAGTAATTTATCAAGCAACATTACCAAACGTCTGCTGGCTCCTGCTTCTCAAATTCTCTGTTTTAAATTGTTTGTAAATGATTTTTGGATAGAAAAAAACCAAAAAGGAAATAATTTCTTTTAGAAAATGTGTGGTGGTTCATTTGGAATTGTTTACATTTCACAGACTAAACAATTCATTTACTAATAAAAAGATACACATTGACAGATTAAGCAATAATGACAATGTTTAGTTGAAGCCCTAGAAAACAAGTCATTTAAAATAGAACATAAAATGGCAGTGTCTCAAAGTAATTTCAAGAAACAGAAGATATTAATGAACTAAAATGTTGTATTTATTGAAACAAATAAGTAATTAAGGAGATATTTAAAGTTGTTATACACTCTCTTAAAACAGATTATACATTATATTTATAAACAGATATAATACCAGGAATTAGCAGTGTGCAGCAGAGCCAGAAAGCTGTCACTCACCCCTGTGATGACGGCTCCTCTGGACCAGCTCAGGGACACCAGGAGGAAGGACAGCAGCACCGCTCTGAAGCCCATGACAGCAACAGGAGAACTGGACTCTCTCAACACCCTCAACAACAGCTGTAAACGGTCTGTCCGGCACCTCACAGTGGATCCCCGTCTTTACAGTCAGTCATGAAGGTTTCAAGAACTCCTCAGAGGGGGGAGCCACTCTCTCTCCCTCTCTTTATCCACCTCCGACCCCCACCCAACCCTCCCTCCCTCCCTCGCCATGTCTGAGATCTCCCAAAGTGCTCACTGCCAGTCTCCTCAGAAGCTTTGTCATCTTATTCATCTGCATGACGGCCTATTTAGGCTCACAGGATTGCTCCCTGCTTGTAAATCTTTGCCTGTTGCATCAGATCTGACCATAGATTTGCTCAAAGCAGAGGCTGACAGAGTTTCCATTACTCAAGTGCATCAAGGCAACACAAAAATATTGAAAACTATTCAAGAAGTGATGACATTCATATGAACTAAAATGAATCTGACGCCTCTTTGTGAGAAAAAGGGCACAGGTGTCATGACATTCAGAGTTATTGGTCAGTCTGAAGAAGCCAGGACAAGACAAATCACCATCAAAACCATATAACGAGTTTACTGAAATGACCAAAGGCTGTCTTATGAACTGGGCTTGATGGGAGAATTATATGGGATATTCCTAATAATATTATGGTGTACATGTGCTGTTATGCCAAGTATTGTGACAGCTGCTATTAACTTTGTGAATGTATCTACAATAGGTAAAAAATGCCTATAAGGCCTCAAAGGTTAAACATGTATCTGTTTTATGTCACAATCTTCTCTGCAATTAAGGTAATACATATGATTTTAAATTGGCTATTTATTTGGCAATTAATATTTGAAAAGAGAAATCTCTGTTCAGATTTGGTATTTTTGAGGTATAATTCAGTTTAGTTTGCTTCCATTTCTAAAATGATGCCTTTTTTTAAAGAAATATTTACATTGACTTATTTGAAAACAACATTGAAAGTGAGAGCAAATGTGTCGATACGAATTGACATTGCTTATGAACCATATTGTCACTTGAAGGATAACAGAATATAAATAAGTCTTATTTTGTGCTAAATAACATAAATAATAGCAAAATCCCGTAATCATGTTATTACACAATGACAGGGTGATGATACACTGACTCTGATTCAGATCTATTCTGGGTTCATTTGGAGATTTACTGTTGTCGTAAAGTGGCCAATAGGTATATCATGATGGGGTCTAGTGTTGATACCAACCTCCCATCATACAAGATTAATGATTTTTTATATGAATATATTTTATGGACATTAATGCAGGTGTCATAAACAAGAGAAGAAGATGTCATGTTTTTGGACTCTGTAAATATTTAGCATGCCGTGCATACTCTTATACTAGTGTTTGCCTATGTGCGTATTAGGAAAGTGATGGGCTGCAGGTTGGCAATGGCTCTGATTTAGGAGGTGAGGAGAGAAATGAGAGAGCAAAGAAGATACGAAAAGATAGAAGAATTAGAGGAGAGGAGGGAAAGCATGCCCAGAGCTTAGTCCGCAGTACATTACCCTGCCTCTGCGCAGGTGATGGATTCCTCCAATGCAGCGGACACATAATTACATTCACCCATTTCTGCCCTGTCAGCAGGAGCACTAGAGCCTCGCCATCTTTAGACAGGCAGCAGAAATCATGCAGGAGTTGAGCTCATGAGGCAGCCTTGAGCTAAATTTGGAAGAAAACACAGAATCCATCAACAAAAGGCTGCAAGAAACAAGGGGCCTTCATAAAAGTCATACTATTAAGGCTATATTTTATGTTCAATAAAGTGTAGGCATTGGCAAAGTTCACATTATATTGCTAAAGTTTATCAAACTAAAGTTTGCACCACAATATGATGAATTTGTTGCATGTTCTTTTTTTTATGATTTAAATTCTGTGTAGAAGTCGGAGTTGAACTTCATGGTTCTCCAAAACAGTGTTATATGAATAAGGCACATGTGACACTGGAGCTATTTTTGGCAACTTCAGCTTTACTGTGAGAGTCATCTGATCGTGACTGCCTCTATGCAATACTTGAGAACCAAGTGGGAAGTGGATTATCAATAAGGGGGGGATAACTCAAGTAATCTAATCTCATGCAACTCTGAATATCCAAATATCTTTCCCACAGGGGCATGGATGAAGAGAGGATCACATCGATGGTGAAATATAGAGAGAAAAGTGTTTCATTTCCCAACTAATCCAGTTTAGAAGATGATTTAAGTGTATGAGGACCTAGCCACATACAAAATCCAGAGCATATACATCTACAGTAGGCAATATTAAAATGATATATCAAATGCTAACATTAGCCTAGAATATGAAATCCCTTTACAGGACATTTAAACACTACCCTTTAAATATTTGTTGACATTAAACGACCTATCTATCTGTATTCAATTGCACAAAAGTACACATCGTACACTACATGTCAACAGGTTATTTCTTAACGTCAAGTGTTTTGTTCTGTTATTATTTTAGCGCGCTTCGTGAAGTTTGGACCTCACAGGGACCGCTTTGTGCACGTGACGGTCAGCTGCTCTACCCGGAAGCTTTGAGGAAGCAGACAACCAAAACAACACATTTAAAACACAAAACGTGACTTTGTTGGTAATCTAAGCTTGTTAACAATGGAGTCGACCCTCGAGCAGCATCTTGATGATACGTAAGTTCATTTCAGACTGTGTTTGAGTTTGTATTTTAACTGTTGGGACGTTGAAGACGATTAAAAGCCTCTGTTTGTCTGTGTTTTCAGGATGAAAAACCCAGCAGTGGTCGGTGTGCTCTGCACGGATCACCAGGGACACAACTTGGGCTGTAAGAAAACCCCACGTTTTATTTGAGATTTATTTAAAAAAATGTCGCCTAAACGTTTTCACAACACACTCGCCTTTTTTCAAGGGAAGATTCAAACAGAGGTGATCAGTTGTTTTTAAAAGAAAGGACTCCTCACAAAATGGAGACGATAGCCTTATGGATGTCCCTCGGAATAAAAAATACGGACAAAAAAAAAAAGAAGACTCTCCCTCATTTGAAAAACACATAGGCCTACGTGTGATACTCCCCATATTTTCACTTTGAGACTGCAATTATAACAAGGAAACACAAAACAAACCAGGCCAAATTACCGCAAAGCCTAGACTTCACCTTACCATCATGCTTAATAACGTCAAGCCAAGTCCGTAAATCGTCACAACGGAGCTCAAGGATGGACAAACGTGGGGAGTCTGACTTGTAACTCAAAAGAAGAGTAGAAAAATGTAACAAAAGCAAGGGGAGCTAAATGCTGCCTGCCAGCATTTACATATTAAACTTTATAACAGCTGTCTTTTGTATTTTTGGGGGATCCACATAGTCAGCATGTTGATGAACACATCTGAAAGTCATGTGTAATCAAGAGTGTAGTCCATTTCTATCACAGAAGAATAAGGGTCTAAACTGTTTGTAGATAAAGCTTAGAATTTGAGAATTGTACAGTGTTTTTTAAAATGATTATTCTAATTTAATGGCTTTGCAAATGCACCTGATAAAAACTGTACGTAAACAATTTTTAACTCCCTTAAAATCACCTCAAGCACACATTGATCAATGGAAAAATATTCTAAACATGTCCTATATAAACACTTGTCTTGTTGTTCCAACCTCAGTCGTAATCAAGGTCAATTAAAAAAAACTGCTTTTGAATGGGAATTAATTGTGGAAAATATGTCCTAAATAACATGGTTGAGCAATTGTTTTGTGACCTTGCTTCTACAAAACGTGAGGTTATTTGTGAGTATCATGAACAAAAAGTTACATTTGTAACTAGGGCTGAACGATATATCGTGTCGTGACGATAATCGCGATATGCGCATGCGCGATATTCACATTGCGTGGACGTGCGTTTTATTTTTTTAAATTTTTTTTTAGGACTTGCGATATTAAGTAGGCAAATTAACTCAAACACGTCATGTTACAATTCTTTTGCTGCTTGCTACAAAACGAAAACCTGTGCGGGTCTCATTTCAGGGGTACTTGAGTGAGTGACATGCAGGCTCTGTTAGCAAACTACCAATCACAATCAAATCTCCAAAGCAAACGGACCCAGTGATTAAAGGTAAAAACACTGAATAAAGTAGTTTCATGTGTTTCTCCAAGGCAGTTCGGCGCTGCTAACCGAGCTAGCTCAGCTTGTTGCTCTGATAACTTAAGATCCAGACGTCCGTGACTAAAATCCTTCATCCGGTTAAATATAGTTAGGAAAATACCAATTGTATATCATTAAAGTTCAAGAAAGGATGGTTTTCGGAAAAAAAACCCGGTCTTTTCTTCAATTCCTGTATGTTTTCATATCGCAATATATATATCGCAGGGGGGGGGAAATAGCAATGTCAGTTTTTTCCAATATCGTGCAGCCCTATTTGTAACACATCTGTAAGTTGCAAATATGATGAAGTTTCAGTTACCTCAGGATCATTGTTAATCAATGCCTCTTTTGACGTTTCTTAATTTCTCTACATTAACTCTTTTTATGTCACACATTAACAGGCCGCGGCTCCCTGTCTGATGAACATGGCGGTGTTGTGTCAGTTTTGGCCAAACAAGCTGCAGCTCTCTCCAAAGATCCAACAGACAGCCCCACTGTGTGCCTGGAGTCTGAGTCAGGGTGAGCGCTCACACAACATGTTATCTAGCTCACTGAATTTAAGGGATCTGCCTTTGAAATAGATCCAAGACTCAATCAAAGACTGTCAAATAAAGGAGTGGCTATTATTTGTACATTAAACTGTGCTCCAAGTCTTAGTAAAGGAGTTTTTTCATTTGCAAGTCTATGCTGCCACCTTCTGGACTTTCTAAAATGTATTCTTGTTCAAGCTTAGCAGTGACTAATTTAAACTCATACTGATAAGTATTATAAAGATGTCATATTGAATGTTATAGTGACAGTCAAGGAACCCTCTGCTTTATCTTGACTTGTAGGCTGCTTTCTAACTATGGTAGGATTATAGTACTTGTCAACAAGGTGTAAAACAATGACTTGATGACCTGACAGATATCAGGTGTCAAAACAAAATGTGACAGGCCATTAGTTCTCATGTTTCAACTGCCGGTTGTAAGTAGGGTTTAAAGGCCAACGTTCAATATTTGTAGATGTGTATTATTTTTTTAAATAGTACAATTATGCTAAATGAAAACGTTATTCATCTCAGGTTTGGACTATAGGTGAAGCCTATGATACTAAAATAAATTGTGATAGTCATTATATCACACACAATATTAAGGAATGCTTTTGTAATTTGATTACATTTGAATTTGAGTTAGTCAAACTACCGTACAGTAGAGGTTAATGACAGACAGGTAGATATGATCAATCAGTCAAAAAGTCAATACTACAATTATTTTGTTCCATCATGTAAACGTTTGTCTAATAAATTACATTTCTTTGCTTGTTTTGTAGAAACATTCTGGTGAGGAGTCATGGGACCATCACAATAGCCGTTCACAAGATAGCATCTTGAAGACAACACGACTCACTGAAGAGTTTTTTGTAAAGAAATGTACACAGGCACATAAGTATAATCACACAGTCTTTATGAACTGTGGGAGAGATATAGAGTTTCTTTGCCTTTCTGTTTCGGGTACACTCAGATCCTAGATTAAAGCAATGATGTGTATCTGTTAGTTATTCTAATGTATTGGTTTCATTTACAGATTAAACCTTGTATCATGATATTTACAGCCATGTTATGCTTTGACTGTTTTTGTTAACATCCATAATGATCGATCCAATGCATGCACAGAAAAACAAACCTTAATAAAAGTTTAACTTGACTCCGTGTTGCCCTCTTCCTGGTAAAGTGTTCATTATGTTCTCCTTTGCTCAGTGTTTCGTGGTTAACTGAGTAATTTTCTTTGGCAGCTGCATGAACTTCATCTCCAATTTTAGTATTTCAAATTCCTGCTACCTATTACTTCTACTCTTCTACTATTCAGAGGCAAATATTATTCTTAAATAATATAAAATGTATGTTGGTTAATATAAAGTGTATTGATCCTTTGGTGAAATGTATAAGCTCCTCCGCAGTATTAATTATTTTTTTTAAAGAAGAAAAAAACACTCCTCATTTACCAGCTGCATTATTAGAGTCATAAACACACTAATGCTCTGTTTCACTGTCACATTTTGGATGCAGTCCAAATACTTGTTCTACCTCTGTTCATCCCAGAAATGAAAAGAAAATGTTCAGAGGTTGCAGTCAGGAATAACAACTGCCAAGAATGCATTGATCACAGGAGCAGGTGGGAGTTGCTTGACTTAACGCATCGGACACATTTGACTCATCTTCTGGTAAAGGTGTCCCAACTTTACAAAATGGCTTTAATTGGTGTCAGAAAACCCATGTGTCCTGCGGTCCACTGCACAATGGTGCCAATCTGCAGTGGGGACTGACAGTGCAGTGCATCTTGGTGGCGCATGTGCCCGGACCCGAGTAAAGTCTGCGGTGGCTCTGATGTTTTGACCGCAGAGCTTTTTTTTTTTTCCTCCCTGTGATGAGGCTTACTGCTACGCCTCAGTCACGTGGCTCCTCCTGGCTTCGCCTTCTGCGGCTCCTCAGCAGAGCCAGCGCTGTTGAGCCTGAGATGTGAGATGCAACTCAGAGGGACACGCTCATAGAGGCAAAGTTGTGGCACGGTCATCCCCGGACTAAAAGGTCCCGCAGCAATATCTCTCTGCCAAAAAGTACTTCACCGGTGACGCGCACGCCTTTCTAGGACGCACAAACCCGGAGCGAGAAAACCACAAATTACGCGTGAAATTAAACTAATTGAACATTGCGGCAGAAGCTCTTCGAGGACTGAAGGATATTTCAGGTATGGACTTATTTGCATATTTAAGTCAACACATTAATAGTTTTGAATATAGCCTAGATTGACCGAAAAACGTTTTTATTCTCAATATATTGTAATTAATTGTCTTAATTGGTGAAATAGTTTTGTCCCACCAAACCTTTTCCCGTGAGGAATCTAGCTTACATTACTCTACAAACTGTTATTCTCGGTGTCCCCCATAGTTGTTTTGATTTGAAAACTTTTCACCCACATTGACAGTGAGGTTTTAGCCACTTTTTATCAATTGGCCCCCGGTCCGATGACGCCCTCAGTGTGCATGAAGTTTCTCATCTGATTGAAACACTCTATTCTTGCCTCTTCAGCAGTGTTGGTTTGGGAGAGGGCCACAATGCAACAGGCCTGCAAAGTGACGATAACAACCAGCTCACAGCTACACACGGTAAGACCTCTCTTATTTCTCCCCACAATAATACGGGTTTGTGTATGCCTCCGAGACTAAGTCAAAAGCCCTCAGCTGAAAACCCTGCATTTACTACATAATCTCATCATTCCTCACAACTCAATGCAGAAGCTAAGATGGCCTCGTAGTTGGAGACAACAGGGGTTGAGTGTGGGTTTATCTTGAGGGATAAAACACTCTACCAAACATCAATAAATCAAATAAATTCCTTGAGTTTTAGTAACAACATCTCAACAAAGTCATGAGTAAATACACCTGCATTAGAGAAATTCAGCTGAGAAAGGACTTTTGAGTAAGACAATTGTGTTTGAAAAATGCATGCAGGTAACAAATAGGAAATGGTGTTCTGTATATAATGGGTCTATTACAGTCAACAGACTAGAAGTATTCTTAGATGACACCTTACACAATTTCCTACTGAATATTTTTGCACATTTGGAGAGAATAAGGATCAATATTTGACAGCATTTTTGTACTATTTGCCTAACAATCAGATAAAGGCCTATTTGAGGCTCAGCTCTGTCGATCTTAATATTGGCTGATTTACTTAAAGTGGACCTATCATGCTATATTTGAATAATATAGTGTAGGACCATACCTATATAAGGCGTATTTATACTTTTTATTTTTCGAAATACCTAACAGATCATGCATTTCAGCCATTCCTCATTTCGCTCAACTTAAAGGTGACCTATCATGCAAAATGCACTTTTGTACGTCTTTTACACATGAATATGTATCCCCGGGGTTCCGGGGAACTCACCAAGTGTCAGAAAAAACAACCCTCTCTATTTTCCTCCATACCCAAATCTCTTAAAAAGGGGCTGCAGCGGATCTGATACAGATCATGCATTTTAGCCATTCCTCATTTCGCTCAATTTAACACTGTCTTTGCATGGGCTGATTCTGTGAGAACAGCACCATCTACAGGCATGGCATATGTACTACAGCGTCTCCAGCGCTTTCGAGCGGCAATGTCCGTGGCTGTCTCCTCCTGATTGGTGGAGTTGGCCCAATAGCCGTAGCGCCACTTCTGTGACGTCATAGAAGTGTTCAAATCTGGATCAGTCTGTATCAGATCCGTTGTAGCCCCTCTTTAAGAGATTTGGGTATGGGGGAAAATAGAGAGGGTTGTGTTTTCTGACACTTGGTGAGTTCCCTTGAACCCCGGGGACACATATTCATGTGCAAAAGACGTACAAAAAGGGCATTTTGCATGATAGGTCACCTTTATGGTTATTCTGGCCAAGGCATGTCTGTCTTGATATCCAGTGTTAATTAAAGGATTCCGTTAGTTGTTCATCCGGTTTAAACGTAACAAACATTTATTCAAACAGCTCCTGCAGGTTTGCAGTTTTTTTAAGGCGGTCTTACTATTGGCTGGTTTGCTTAAGGTTATTGTGGCCAAGGCATGTCTGTTTTGATATTAGTGTTAAAGCATTCCGTTTGTTGTTCATCCGGTTTAAACGTAACAAACATTTATTCAAACAGCTCCTGCAGGTTTGCAGTTTTTTTAAGGCATGCTGTAAAGTAAAGTATTAACAGAAATCTTTACAGGACTTGAGATGCAAACTGTTTAACATCTTAAACCTGTTAAATGTTATGTTATGTCCTGCAGATGTGGACATGCGGACACATGGCCCCTGTGCAAGCGGGGGCTGAGTAGCAAAGAATAGCTTCTAAGGCTCTGGGTAAAAAAGGTACCCGGCCGGAGCCTGAGGAGCTATTACAACTTGGATCCACTCATTTGTTGATCCTGCAATGATCCACGTTAAAAAAAGAAGAATCCAAAAGACCCGCCACCCCCTCTCACAAAAGTACTTTTACCACCTTTGTGAAGCCATTATAATGCAGACTATGTTATTATCAGTATTGATCGTAAACATCACAACAATGGGTAGGTTAGGTTGATTGCAATTCAGTACAGACATTTGCGGTCCCTGGGCCCAGGGGTGGAGTGCACCAGCTGGGCGTAAAAAAGTAGGTCTTAACTCTAGGGCTGTACCCGAATTTTCGTTCGTTGGCCAACTATTCGGGTTTCAATTTCATTATTCGGATATTCGTTTTTTTATTTTTTTTTATTATTGGGTCTATAGAGTGGTACTTAGACACGTAGTACGTGCACGGCCAAACAACACAACTAGATAATTTGTCTTTCTATACCTATAGTGTTCTCACACGTTTACATAATCAAAGGATAGGTACACCTTATACTAAATTCACCCCCCCCCTGGAATTGGATTTGAGATCCCTCCAGGCCCGTACGAGAGGGCCCTTCTAACAAAAAAATATAACACTTCAATTTTTCGTAGTTGACACGTGCAACTCTCGTTGGTACTTCTCTAGATACCTATGTATAAGTTGTGGGTACTACTTGTCTTGACCTTCGTCTAAATAAAAAGAAATACTTATAATGTTAGTGAGTGGAAAGTTTGACATAATTGACATATGTGAGCATCAGGTTGCGTGTTATAATACTGTGACTCGACAGCTTTTATATTGTGACACGTCTGACGTTTAAGATGACGTTGTAAGACGACGTCGTCTTAAGTGATACTATATTGTGATTGTAAGGACTGTATATCTAGAGTTATAGTAGAAAATACCACATGTACGGAAAATTTATTGTAAAAACCTTTCCGGGTACGCGGATCGGGGAGAATGTCCGGTTTCAGTGACCAGTTAGCAAGAATTCAGGTCGGTTGGACCGAAGTTAACGTCGTACCGTTCTTGACCGTTTCGGAATACCCCCCTGTCCCCACGCTCGGATTCTTCCTTGTCAACCAGGACCGTGGTCCCCTCCTTGTTGACTAAATCATACTTATTCACGATTTTTACATGGACGTAAATAATTTACAGTCGATCTTACCTCATTTAATTTTGAGACTTTAAAAACACTTCCATAAATTATTCATGAATTTCATTCATCACCATTAAAACCTCTTGGTCGAACTCACGTTGGATCTTAAACTTTTTATGTGTTGGCCTTTTTAACGGTGAAGGAACTGTCTCCGGGGCAGGGAGGTTTGTGTGTGTTTACGGTGTACTGGTTACTCCCGTGCTCATTCAAACCCGTGTCTAACCTTCCGACTGGTCCCGGTCCATCCTGGTAGGTCAATAAAATCGGCCCGGCGAATTTTATAACCAACACGAAAAATATCGCGATTGCCGGAAGTTGTCTACTGTAAAGAAATACCTAAAAAACAGTTCGTAAATTCTTAAGTACAACGATAGCCCTACCAATTCTACGTATCGTACCTTATATGTTTCTTCCTTTAGAGCTAGGCCAAAGAGGTTGAATGGATGCGGATGGAAATTACAGTCGTTTTGTAAAATTATATTAAATGTTACCTGTTTCGAATCGATTTCGTCAGATTAAGTGGTGAGTACCTGGTGTGGGTGCGAAAAGAAAACTTTTTTTGACCCACTGTATTGACAGCGAGAGAGGAGGAACAGAAAGAGAGGAAAGAAAAGGAAAAAACTTTCGACTGAAACAGCAACTTTGTTACCGTGTGTGCATTCATATCGTAGGGGAGTATTTATTTGTTCTGTCTTTGTATACATGTATGTGTGTACATGTACCTGGGTATGTGCACACACGTATGTGTATATGTGGGTACACAAATGTGAGTATATGGGTACAAGTATTACTGTTACTATTATTTTTTCCCTTATCTATACATTTTCTTTTAATATTATCTTCTACATTACTTTACTTTTACCTATACATGTATCTATTTTATTTAGTTAGTTAATTTACTAGCTAGGACCGGGAGGGGGGGAAAGGGGGAAAATAAATAAAAATATTGACTGTATAAATGTAAACTCATTGTGCCTGACTCAATAAAAAAAATATTTAAAAAAGAGATATCTGGATTAAGAGGTTGCTTTTTCTTTGCACAGCATGAAATGAATGGGCTGTGATTTTAGTTTTTTTAAGCAGAGGTCAATAATTTGTACGGCCCTGTGAGGATATTGTAAAAATTGAAATGGCCCTGAACTACAGGGACAAGATCTGGCCGACTTGTCTGATCCTGGATCACAAAAAATGGGATTTCAAAATCTGATCGGATCTGATTGAGATTAAAAGTTTTGAACTCCTGGGCCCAAGATTAATTTTGATCCTGTAAAATATTTCAACATCTATATTATACAATAGATAGGTACTAATTGTTAGGATAGTGCTAGTTATTGTGTCTCTGATTTCAGGTTTCAGGAAGATGAGCGTGCACCCGCATCAATTCTAATTCATGTTTTTGTGTCATTTGACTTCACTTCTTTTTTCAGGTGTAAAGCTAATCTTGATGCAGCCATAGTAACAAGTGCCCTTTCGACCAACCAGAATGACACTTGGAGAATAGGCTTCTTGAGGTTTTTCTTCAGCTCCAGAGCCTTCAGGCATCCCACCAAATCAGCATTCAAAGGTAACTGCACAAGCCCGTTTAGAGAGAAAAAGCTCTTATCAGAAATCAGTTTTTTTTTTTTGGTAAATATTCTTCAAATGGCGCAGGAAGCTTAGTGACGTTAGGAGTCACAAAAAATAGCAAATGGTGAAAAAAAAATTAAACACACTGAACTTTGTATATAGTTGTAAGTCTGAAATGGATTTTGGATAATAGCAGACTTTGAACTCTGTATGATGTGTCCCCTCCAGCATCCAGACTTGCTGGCGATTCTGGACAAAATTAGATCAATTTGTTTCCAGTGTAAAAGACAGGGGGGGAAATCAACAAGCTGTGCAAAAATGCAGTCTAAAGTTCAGCTAAAGCATGAGTAAGTCAAAAGCAAGTGGTTATCCTCCAAAGGTGCACAATGGTTGCGGTTGAATATAATTTAACAATATATCCGTAAAGAAAAGCTCTTTATTTTTCTTTTGATGAAGAAGTACTCTTTTGTTCTAATATAACTGCTATCACTGCATAATCTACGCTGCTGTTTTTGGCACAAATTGGCCACTCCTAGTTGTCTCAAAAAAACCTAAACCAGGCCGCCAATAGCTTCTCGCATGCATGAAGGGGCTGTTATTAGCCCCGTCAATGGCTATCATGATGCCTGATAAGACAAGGATATTTTGTGTGATCCTATGATTCTTCATGTGATATTGTTTTGCTGTGCAAGGTAAGTATAGTAAGATGAACTTTAGAAGATCACCACTTGAGTTTTTGTATGGACAATGCATAATAAACTAATATTATATATATTTATTATATAATCATTATATGATTGATCATTGTGAGCCTCTCCGCTCACACAGGGTTCAAATCAGGACGGAAAGAGCAGGTTGGTGAAACACAGGCGTTTATTAACTCCAAACAATAATATGCGCGGGTCTCAAACGTTGCCCGGGTGGGAAACTTCACAGGTCCTTTGGCGACCTTCCAGGATCCCGCCTACTGCATAACAGACCAGAACCAGGTTACGACATGCTTTTCTTCCTGCACTGATTACCTGATTCCGATCAGCTGTCTGGCCTCCGGCCCTTCACTCCAGCAGCCAGCGCCCAAACCACACCCCGCTGCCACATACCCCCACCGCCCGACTCAGGCCGGGATCCCGCCGGCCGCAAGCTGACTCTNCAAATGGCATCAGTAACAGATGTGATATGAATTTCTATAAAGTTGTCTCACATTCTTGGTCATATTTTATATACAGTATCTAATGAGTATAACATGTCCAGTAAGTATAAAGTGTTTCCTAATGAACTGTATATTCAACCACTATGGTATAGTGTATGGTACTATGGCATGGTATCCTAGCTTAATCTGTTATCTGTAAACGTTCCCTAAATCTACTAATTTAGGGATAATCCACTGACATCCTTTAATACACATGTTAATTTGAATCNGTGGAGGACAGAGGAGGCTCTTAAAGAAGAAGTTACAGGTCTGTGAGAGCCAGAAATCTTGTTTGTTTGTAGGTGACCAAATACTTAATTTCCACCATAATTTGCAAATAAATTCTTTAAAAATCAGATGTTTTCTGACACTTGGTGAGTTCCCTGGAACACCGGGGACACATATTCATGTATAAAAGGCGTATAAAAGTGCGTTTTGCATGATAGGTCACCTTTAAGTTAAATGACATTGATTGACAACCATAAAAAAGGCAATCTGTATTCGACTCAATGCCCAACAACACTAGCTCTTCTTCAGAGGCCTGTACTACGAAGCTGGTTCAACCCAGCGCCATATAGATAGAAGAGTTACGACAGCGGAAGTCCAAAAACGGTTATCGTCACATGGTTCATGTAGACGAGGATCGTTCCCCGGAAGTTCATGGCGGGCAATGTGAATGCATTGATAACAGGAGATAGAACTACGATTTTTGGTAATTATTAGTGAATAAAGGTTTTGATTTGCAATATTTATACAACAAATCGACATATCGATTTGTTGTATAAATATTGCAAATCAAAACCTTTATTCACTAATAATTACCAAAAATCGTAGTTCTATCTCCTGTTATCAATGCATTCACATTGCCCNAAGGCGCCGGCGTTCGAACTGAGAGGGGGGGGGGAGGCGACTCGTTCTTCTCTCTTAGTTGGGCGCCTGTAGGCGCAATGGGCCGGACACCTAGTGGAAACTTCAACTTTCCGACATTGCGGTCCTATGTGGGCCACTAGGCTCGCCAACCGGAGGAAGTACGCCACCTCGGTGACCTCGCCCCGTACCCAGGTGGTACGTCCCACTTTCCCCGGGGTCCTGCCATCATGGCTGTCCCGCGCTGGCGGGGGCATGACCGCCTCCCGTGCCCGGTGAGGAAAAGGGTGGCATGACATCAAGTGGAGGGAGACCCGCTCGAATGTCCGATTACAGTCATGCCCCGAGCCTGGGGGAATGCACGACCCTGTTTTGCCGGGGTGGGTGCGAAAGCCTCCGCAGCCAGACGGTTAGTGTTTTCCCTCTCTCTGTCAGTCCTCTTATGTCTTCGCCCGAATGGTGTCGCCGAAAAATTGGAGAGTTCTCGGTCGACTGTGGCGAGGCAGTGACCGGCTAGACTGTCGTGGGAAACCCAAGTCCAGCCAGTCCCCTGACCAGTCCGAGGCTTTCCGCCCTACTTGGCGGACATCCATCGCCCGGTCCGGGGTAAGCTTGAGGACCTGGAGAAAATAGCCAGCACCCGCGGTCTGGTCCGACTTTACCGCCAACAAAAGAATAGACACACCCGGCGTGGACACGGGCGGCGGGTTCCACCATGGGTCTAATGGCATGGGAGGGAGGGCAAGGTTGGCGTGTGAAGAAGCCCAACCGGCACCGGGCGGACGCGAGTCCCTGAGCTCGTGGCGGGGGGACCGACGTAACGACGAGGGTACAAGTGACACTTACTACTGGTAGTAGGTTCATTCGTTCGTCCGGGAAGGGAAAATGCATTGATGATTGTGGCAGCGGGGTGTGGTTAGGGCGCTGGCTACTGGAGTGAAGGGAGTGGCTCGGCCGGAGGCCAGACAGCTGATCGGAATCAGGTAATCAGTGCCGGAAGAAAAGCATGTCGTAACCTGGTTCTGTTCTGTTATGCAGTAGGCGGGATCCTGGAAGGTCGCCAAAGGACCTGTGAAGTTTCCCACCCGGGCAACGTTTGAGACCCGCGCATATTGTTGTTTGGAGATAATAAACGCCTGTGGTCAACCAACCTGCTCTTTCCGTCCCTATTTTGAACCCTGTGTGAGCGGAGAGGCTCACAGTGTGGTTTCCTTTTTTCTGAAAAAGTGCAAATGCAGTGTTTGTATATAATAACCTCACATATTTTTTTGCTGTTGGTCGTGAAATTGCTCCTTCTGACTTGAGCCAGCCATTTTTTCCTCCGCTCTGTGTCAGTGGGGAAGCCGTACATTCGTACTCCTTTCTCGGAGCGATTTGAGCATCCCCAGGCAGCACAGCAAACCATGGTGGCGACTAGGAGGCAGCACAGCAAACCAGGACAACACGGAGGAAAAGGCACAGACAAACTGCATGATATGCTATTCAATGTTTATTGAATTCCATGTATTTGCAATGGATGTTCCTAAAACAACACATTTAACAGTCATCATCATCATGCTGCTGCTGCTGCTAGTCCTTTGATAGTCACCTGTCGGTCTCCTGTCCTTTCTGAAAGCCATAAAGATGACATTAGTCATTTAGATAACTTGTGTCCTCAATTACCATGGGATTACTGAAACTACCATGAATTTAAGAAAATGGTAGAAATTAATCTAATCTGAATTTTGAAGCATTCCTTTAGATCCCCTCCCTCTAAATATATCAATAAACATTAGAAAGTGATGCTCCTGACTACCATACAAGTTTAAGAAGATAATATTGGTTTTAAAGAATTGAAAGCTATAAATAAACAGCAACAGGCTCTTTAACCAAGGCACTGTTAGCCTAACATG